TAAGATAACTATTGATGATGACGATGCTTCAATGGTATTATTTTGAGGAGTCTTACATAAAGGAGATATTTTTCAAATGTGGAAACATTCTATAAAATCGTATGAATCGATAGATTCGGCAAATGGATATAAATATACGTGTTTTTGAATGAACTACAAGGAATTGATTGTCTATACAGATTTGAGCTGAGATAAAATTAATATGTAATAACATGAAATTGTTTTTATTTTCAAAAGTGCTTTTAGTTACAGTTGGATAGCCGTTTGAAAAAATTGTTTATCTCGGGCTTTTTTTATTAGGACAAGCCCGCCACAACCTCCCAAAACCGCTGCAACTCCTGTAAGCCAGGATCTATAGTAGATACAACCATGAAAAAACCGGAACACTGAAGTGTCTCAGAAGATATCTCGGGCTTTGTTGAAACTCCTTGCCAAATTCAGTGTCATTATCAGACATCATCTAATGCCCTCTTAATTAGCATATATCTAGTTAGATAGTATTTCGCGTCGTTACGACCTTTCACACACAGTTAAAATTCTCACCAAAGTTTAACATGTTCAACTAATTCCCAAATGTTTCGTCGATAAACTGTGCCACTTGGTAATGTTTATCAATCATCATTGCTTTAGTTTTTACACCAACTACGAACCGTTTCCAAAATACATGCGTTGGTATTTCATAAACATAATACCGTTAACAATTATAAGAGATAATTTTGCTATGAACATTTTTAGTTCACGTATGTAGAGGTATATTGCTGTAGCTTGGTCTTTTGTTACCATTTCTTCAACTTTTATAATTACTATTTTATCAGCATCTATTGTTTCTTTAATATCATTTGGAATTCATTCTAGATGGGTTCATTCTAGGTAGATTTCGTGGTACACATTGAATTCTACTGCTATAATTACATCAAGCTTTTCATAGAATTGAAAATGTATGAGGTGGAAATTAGGACTATTGTTTATCCAAATTATTTATTTACTATCCTGTATTAAATTAGCTATTTTAATACATTTGAAACTGAGCCTTAAAACATGAATATCATCGAGCCTTTTCCATTATTTTAATCCCTATTTTTAAAATTGTTTACCCTTTATACATTATTTGGAGGATACGCACAGTTATGTCCTTTTTGGGATCCCGTTAGGATAAGATCTTTTATTTCGTCTCGGTTAGTGATAGTTACATAAAATAATTATCGTTTTTGTAGCCATAGGTATACATTTTTGTTTATCATTTATTCGCCAATTATTTTTATAGACCTTGAGCTTGTTCAGAAATACATGATATTTTCTGTTTTCGCCTATTATTTTTCTGTTTTTTTCATTTCGGCTATTTTTTCTGTTTTATAGGAAATTTGAACTACACTTGATGGTCTTTATTATAAATTCGTTCTATAATTTGGACCTATATCTGTTTTCTCTAAGATTCATCATGAATCATCATCTACATCTTAAAATAGTCATCGCTAGCAAATTAGCAATATTTTGTCATCTCACAAGCAGCGATGACAAGGTCCTTACGATTATCCTATCCGAATTTCTAATTATGTTCCAATTCAACACTTATTGTTGACCTTCAAACTTCAGCATTTCAACAAATATTTAATAATCGTCACTTTTACAATACAAATAGCGTTACAATTCGTTTGTTTGTGTGCACAGCTCTAAATATCAACAAATACATAAATCATTTAGTCGTAAAGGAAATGAGTAATGTCAAGTAATTTGGATCCGTCGGGTTCAGTCTGTTTTATTGTCTCACCGACGACTATGTTTTACCAAATCATTCGTTTTATTATTTTCATCTGAACTTTGATTGTTTAAAGTAAGAAAACAGAAAAAAGGACTTAACAGTATCTTTGTTGTTTTGTTTGTCTTAAAAATAAACTTCTTAGATATAAATTTTTGAGCAATTAAATTTGTCATTACAAAAACACGTAAAAACTAATTTAAAATATTTGTAAATTTTTTCCTAAGCAAGTAGGTCACCTAACCTGTTCATCATTGAATGCGTTTAATGAATGAGTCTAAACTACAATTACTTATGCACATTTACAAACTTTTGTTAATAGACACTTTGATAAGAACACGTGTAAGAACCAGATATCGTCTCGCTCGACAACTTTAAAACACCAAACTATTTAAGAAACGCAGTTTAATTTGTTTTTACGATTTTAATATCAATAACAATCTTTTTGCTTCAAAATGTCATGTCTTCAGAGATGATTACGAACGATAACATACTGATATACATGTTGATAAAAGCGGAGAATTTAAAATTTTAATAACTGCATAACTTACTGAGAATGTTACAAGTGAAGATACTCCTAATAAGGTTTTATTATGAAATCTTATGGATTTGGGTAACTCGAATCAGGATTTGAAGGTATAGATGATAATAAGACCTTTTTTAACCCTAAGTTGGGAGTTCCTTGTGGAGATCCCTCGCATAGAGAGGACGAAAGGGACTGTCAGACTCTTACTGCCTATAAATTGATGATATGAATGAGAGCTGAATTAGATAATTTACGGTTGAGGCTGATTTCAAGAGAAATTTAAAAATTTGAATATCGATTTCTTCGGTTTATCTGGGTCATGTGCATGTACATAATTATTATCTGGATGGAAATGAAGAAACTATTTTGCCATACCATGAAGTTCATACCAATGAGACTTTACAAGGTGGTTATTTATTGATTTTATACCTTACTCGGGATATTATCCGGGAATGAAACACTTGGTCCAATTTTTCTGACAAATAGGACCAAATAGTCGAATAGGAAAAACAGAGAGAATTAAAAGTGCTATCAATTTAATTAATTTTAGAGATGCATATGCAGATTAAAATATTAATAAATTTAAAAGAATAAAACCACACATGATCTGCTATGACGAAAGAATTATAATGATAGCTAAATATTACGGCCAACCTTTAGGAACAAAGTGGCACCAAAAGAAAAAAAAGAATAGAAAGAAAGTAAACACAAGCAATAAAAATAACGATACTAAAAGTTAAGTGAAATTCTTAGGAAATAACTAAGTAAGTCTGCAGTATATTTTTGTTAAAATTCATAATATAGATCTGAGCTCTTTCCATGTTAGACAATATTTGAGAATATCTTATAAGAAAATTCTATCCCCAGTAGGTCAATCAGATTCACATGTTTTAATAAATTCTTTTGAAAATGATGCCTAGTGCATTCCAACATAAAAAGTCAAGAGTATCCTCAATTAACATTATAATAAATTAGTTTTCATAATTTATAATTTATTCTTTATTAAATAATTGGAAAAAGCCGGAAGATGATTTATATGAAATTCATTTGAATTGATAACCATAAAATTAATTAGATAGAAAAATAATTCAAATTCGTTGCACGATAAGATTCTTTTTTAAAACATTAAGATATGAGTGTAATGTCTTTTCTAGTTTTGATTAATGCTTATTATTTTCTTATCTAAATTTTATTCCATTTGTATTCTTAGGTTTTATCTTTAACCTATTTTCAGATCTAGACTACATTTTTGTTGCATAACTTCTCAAATCTCTTATTCATTTCCTTAATTAATTATGCTAACTAATCTATTATTTGAATATGCATCATCATAAAATTTATCTTTATTATCTGTGCATATTATTATCGTTAATGTCAAAAGTAACAATAGTATTTAATTATCTCATTAGACTAGTTTATTCACCAGAATTTTCTTATTATCTTTTCCTAGCCTTAAACCACTTCATTTTTTAAATCCTAACGGCGGCGTCGGTTTAAATCCCTATTTCAGATATTTACTCTAAATCTTTTTAGAACATCCTTTTAATTAGTTAACTTGAGTAAAAGCGCAATAAGAACATTGAAGCTAATTTATCGTGGAACTACGCATTTAAATAATAACAACTTTGCTACAAGTTTCTAGAAAATATTTACCTCGTCAATTCGTAACATGTCTCCTCTCTCAAAAACATTGGGTTCTTTTCAAAATCTATCTCCTTTACTCAAAACATCATCCAGCATGCGGTATTTATTAATTTCATATTAAACAGTATCATGCCAATTTGCCACACCACCACAAGAATTTATTATATCTGTTAATTTCTCTTTACCAAACACAACACTTACCTAATGTTTATTTTATATATCTTCGTTCATGTCACAGTTTAAATTATTATTTTAATTTATATCACTCACTTCAAACACAAAGTTCACAAGTCACAAGTTTATTTTTTAATTCTTTCTCTTTGTAATATTATACTGTTGCGTCGTTTAGTGCGCTTTTGTGAGTTCCTAACTAAGAATCTGGTTTCTTAAATAAATCCGGTTCCTATAATTCATATAAGCGATTATAGTCGCGGTGTATATTAAAAAAAATCGGTTCTGTAAACAATTGGAGATCTAACAAAGCAGCGCTTCGCAGCTATCCGAAGCTGTACTGAAATTCTAAACCCTGACTTCGGTGTCCATGTCGCGCACCCCCCATTACTAAATTTCGTATCGGATTTAAAATGCCACAACAACAGAAATGGTCCAAACCAAATAATACTCACACGCCAACCACATAAGGTTGAAAACAGATCAGCACTGGACGCTCCATCCGACATTTGACGACACTCTCGGCGCGCTACAAGGCTATGAGAACGTATAATTTAAAGACGGAGCTGCGTAAACGATTGACTGTATATGTTCGTCTCTCTCTAACACACGGAGGAGGTTGGGCAGCTTTTCGCACAGCGATGTCGGATTGCTCATTTTTTTTGCTATTCAGTATTGAATTACGTATTATTTTGTGAATTAGATTGTGCCGTGGTGTCATATTTTACTCTGTACCTGGTATTCTTTTAACGGGATGGATCGGGAGGCAGGTTAGTATAATCTTTCTTATCTCATAATCCAACAATTTTTGGGACAAACAAACTTTATTCTTACATAATACTAAAAATGGAAAATCAACATTATTACACTACGCTTACGTTAGTATTTCGATTATTTACACTTTTATTTTCTCTTCTCCTTTGGTACTGTGAAACAGTTTATTTTGAAATGGTTGCAAATTTGTCGTACCTGGAACAACAGGACATTATAATTTGTATGAGCTTTTCAATTGTCTTTGTGTATCGCTTAATATATTAATATAAAATAGCCATCTCAACCCAGCGGTTTCTCTTCCACGCCCTTTTAGGCTAAAAATTGTAAAAGAACCTTTTTAAGTACTAAAGCCGTAGTTCTGTTTTTTACTCCTCTTAGAAGTTACATGCGATTACAAACAAAATTATAAACAAGAAAAGGATCTAACTCTTCATAAGCACTTAATGAATTACTATAATAAGAGTTAAACAGATAAACTATTCATTTATCTAAATAATTTTCTTCTACTTCTTCGGACCCAATAAACAAAAGATGTACCTCTAGTTAAATTAATAGAAATGATATGCAAACTAATAAAAACTCACCACACAAATTCCATAATGTACGTGTGTAAAAAGAAACAGAGCTGATAGCAGATGTAGAATGATGGCTTCTAGTTGGGGCTGACAGAGGGACGTCACCATCCCTCCAAGCAGAGGCCAGGTCATCCATGATAGTAGCTCACACCGACTGTGGCTCATCTCAGCGATAATCAGACGGCACTGTGAAATATAATGAAGGATTAAATCACCTATGGTGGTTTTATGATCCTCTTTTTAAAACTGTACCTAAATTTGGGATGCCGCAAGGTATGATATTAGGACCTACGCATAAAATGAAGCACCTTTAGAATACCTTATACCAATTAAGCGTTTGTTATTTTTTGATGCAATAGCTGCAAGCATTCAGTATGTATCCCGGTTTTTTTTATATGGAACATTTTTACATAGGGAATTATGTGTACCTAACAATAAGAAATGGTTCATTTGCTATCATTATAATGAATTAGGTATATTACACAATACTCTAGTTATAGCTTTTCGAAATTGAGACGTGTCGTATATTTTCATAAACGGACAAAACTTTATCATGTTAATATTAAATCCAATTTTTGCAAGAGAACGACATCAATGTTTTTCTTTTAATGGTACATCGATGGCGCCGGTAAACTCATAGTCATAGTCTTAGTTCAACAAAACGCTTTGGTATTTCGTTACATGTTTTGTAATTTAAAACATTCTGAACTTTGTACTGCGTAAGTATAAACGTAGTAGGATAAGTAGTATGGGGTATTTATTGTACAATTTTTATCTATATATAAGGTATGTAAAATGGATTTGTTGAACGTGAATCAGGTTTCGAGTTCAATCCTTGGAACATACAATCGGTTATTTATTTTTAGATGCTTTAATTCTGTGTTTTAGAAGATTTCGATTTCGTATTTTTTGCAATAAGACTTTCGGAACTACCTGGCCGCTTAGATAGTTTAGTATTATTTGCTAAGGTTTGGATCTTTGTTCAGTAGTTGCTCTCGTGTCTAGTCATACCAGGCAAACATAGAAACAAAGAAATTCTTTAAAATTTTTCATTATTTCTTTCAACTGATATGTGAGTCAGATTGAAATAGGAGTCGGCTGTAAATACCACTGTCAAAAACACAATTAGTTGGCTCAAGACTATGATACAAAAACAAGACAATAGCAGTCTCAATTTCTTTAAAAAATCTAGTTTTCTATTTTCTATAGTACGTAACCTTTACATTGAATTTGACCTTGATAGTTTAGCTGTCATTACTGCTAATGTTGAATATGATGTGGTCCGATCCTCGTGTCGCTTGCCGTGATATTTGCAAAGGGATATTATTTTTAGAAATTCTTTTATTATCGATTCAAATCTGATTTCTCTAATCATTAGACACAATATCAGATTTAGTAATTGACTGTACGATACAAAGTAGTTGTAGTAGTAGTAGTAAAGTCAGTACGGAATGTAACATCTTGCACTGGACTGCACGGTTGGCGCGGTGGCTGGGCAACTGACTGCCGCGCAACGTGTCGCGGGTTCGATTCCCGCACGGAACAACTCTTTGTGATCCACAGATTGTTGTTTCGGGTCTGGGTGTCATGTGTATGTAAACTTGTACGTTTGTAACCGCACCCACGACACAGGAGAAAATCCTAGTGTGGAGCAACATTTTATAAAAAAAAAAGTGGAGATAAAATTATCAGCACCACTAGTCTCTTAATTTTGCTGTGAGTGAGAACCCACTAAATGACTAGGTATTTGACTGAGACCGGGCAGCAGTGCTCAAAAATCTGATAGGCTGTACTTTAAGTACAATCTCCAATCCGTCTGCTAGCTGCTATGCAGCCAGCTTGTAAGTAGAGGAGGCTGTTGATAGATAATAAAGTAGGAATACTTACAGAAATATTACTAAAAAGTGTTCCAAACATGAAGATGAAGGCTCTAGGGTATACTTCGATAACGTTGTTAGGTGACTGTACAGCCCAGTAGATGGTAGCACCAGTCATCACCAGCATCGACCAGATTGGCTTCGTCGCTTGCAGGATGGGGTACCTCTTGCCTGTGCGGTTTTTGTTAGACCTGCAATAGATGTTACGTTAATAGTGTTGGTTTTTTTAAACAAACATGTAGGTTATAGATGAAAAGAAATGAATGAAATTATTATTTTTAAACTACGTTTCAAAAAACCGACTTCAAACCCCTTTTTGTTAAGTAGATTAATTGACTGCCTCGTTGGCCAAGTGGTCGTAAGTGCGACTGCCGGGCAAGGGGTCTCGGGTTCGATTCCCGGGTCGGGCAAAGTATTACTGGGTTTTTAAATATTCTCAGTAGTAGCACGGAGTCTGGAATCGGGCCCGGTATATGGCAATAGGCTCACCCCCTATTACATGGGACTCATAACATAAATAGTGAAAAGTGGGTGTTACATTGTACAGTGGTTTAATGTGCACCTCTGCCTACCCCTTCGGGGATAAAAGGCGTGATGTTATGTATTAATTGATATTATAAATTCAAATTCAAATTCTTTATTGCGTTCCACAATGTTTTACTTAGGTGGTAACATAGAATAATAAATAGATCATTGGTGGACCCTTTGTAAGTCTTTTTGTATTAAATTATATATTTCCTTGCTGTGCCCGACAGGGTCCACCAATGATCTTTATTATTCTATGTTACCACCTAAGTAAAACATTGTGGAACGCAATAAAGAATTTGAATTTGAATTTATAATATCAATTAATACATAACATCACGCCTTTTATCCCCGAAGGGGTAGGCAGAGGTGCACATTAAACCACTGTACAATGTAACACCCACTTTTCACTATTTATGTTATGAGTCCCATGTAATAGGGGGTGAGCCTATTGCCATATACCGGGCACAATTCCAGACTCCGTGCTACTACTAAGAATTTTTTTTAAAACCCTGTAATACTTTGCCCGACCTGGGAATCGAACCCGAGACCCCTTGCCCGGCAGTCGCACTTGCGACCACTCGGCCAACGAGGCAGTCTAGTAAAGTTAATAATCTTCTGAAGATAATGATATTATATCCATACTTACAAATAAACATTATAAACAGCTACAGGGTAGGTAGTGATGAATCCCATGCAATGTATGACCGCTTCTAACGCCTGTGTGAACGTGACGTCACCAAATACGTAATACTTATAGAATTCTGGACCATACGCTCCTGCGAATAGGAATAGTAGCGCACTGACCTGGGAAATAGAATTGTATCTGTTGGTAACAGAGTCTATTTTGGATTGCAGTCAATATAATTTCAAGGTTATAAAATCCACATAAAACAATACAAAACCTTTGGGTGCCTTGTAAAGTCAAGATTACAAAAAAAAAAAAAATTAAGTAGATTGAGCACATCTTCTAGACACTGCCAATTTTTAGTGTGGGAGAGCCATGCTTCGGCACGAATGGGCCGGCTCAACCGGAGTGATACCACGGCCTCACAGAAAACCAACGTGAAACAACGCTTGCGGCGCTGCCGATTGCTTACCATCAGGTGATCCGTATGCTCGTTTACCGGCTTATGCCATAAAAAAACAAGAGTATTAACTGGGGATAAGATCACTGGTCAGCTAGCATACTAAATTCTCAATGACAAGGCCAACCGTGGGGATTATGGCAAACCTTCTATAAAAAGGAGGATAGTGTTCAGCAATGGTCATATTTCAGCTTGTTATGTAAACTCATTTATTTAAGTACAAATTCGCGTACATACATACCCACATACTGAGATCGTAGCTCCAGGGAAGGTATAAGACCCCAGTGTTGTACTTCTCACAATGACTGACGTAGAAGTTCATCACCACGCTGATTACAATCAATAAACCCCTAGAAAACAAAATATTTAGGGAACTGTAGTCTCTTGTTGATACTGGGGAGCCAGAAAGGAAAGAGGTTAAGAAAAAATTGGAACGCAGAACAACTGCTCGATTTATTTTGATAAGAATTGTGAGCTTAAAAAGATATTTTATGTTTATCTAACCGGACAGACTTCGAAGTTTCAGTTTCATAAGGGCTCGTACACAAAACTGCGATGCGACGTCGCATCACAAAAATGTGCGACCTCCCTCTACGCATCGCAAGAACTTGCGAATTAATTCGCATCGCACATCAAATTGTTATCATTCCAAAATCTTCTTTGTTTCTTTTTCCTGTAACTCCTAAGCAATAACAGAAGTGCACTTCTTTTTACGATCCATGTCACGACCTAGTTTTCAATTTAAAATACGCTTAGTACGGTTGATGGTCGTCGAAGGAAAGACACCCTGGGAGACGCCTTGTTGCACGAAATCGCATCGCAGCAATTCGCATCGTATTTTTTTACGTTGCGAATTTGCATTGCATTACAGCTTTGTGTACGAGGCCTAAGTGTGAATTAACTAAAAATGACGAGTTACTCACGTAAATATACTGAGCAAACCTCTAATACTGATAGTTATTATAGAAACATAGATAAATGTGAAAAATTCTATAGAACATCTGAGTATTTTACTCATTAAAGAAATCCTGTATATAAAAATACATTAAATTAAAGAAATCTCACCTAAAACAAGACACGGAGTACTCCTGGTCCCTGCCATAAACGGAGACAAGGGAATAGGGCACCAGAAACACAATGAAGGAGTCCAGTCCGTGGTCGAACAGCTCGCCTAGAGGCCCCGACACGCCGATACGACGAGCTTGCTTGCCGTCGATACCATCTAAATGTTATACATTCCTGGTAGTTATTGTGAATGGAAGATGGGAATGACAAACTTATTAATGTCTCAGTGTGCATCGTGCAAGTGTTAAACTGGTGATACAAGGCAAGATAGAATAGAATAGATTATTTGTATGCATATATTGCATTTACAATTTCGTTTGTTAATCTACAGTTAGTAAAACAATTTACAATATTAAGGGTTAATTATAATAGACTATTGACTAGATAATAATACATTATTAAGATTAAAACTGTGGACTAAAATAAGAGGACTAGCTCTAATATTGATTAAAATGATGAACATAAGGAGAAATTTATTCAGCAGTAATATGTTGTATCTCTGTCTACACTTCATCTGATAGCACAGATTACTATAAACAACGAGACAGGGACAGAAACTGCCCCGCTGGCCGAGTGGTCGCAAATGCGACTGCCGGTCAATGGGTCGAGTTCGATTCCCGGATCGGGCAAAGTATTACAGGTTTTTAAAAAAATCTCTGTAGTAGCACGAAGTCTGGAAAAGCGGTATATGGCAATGGGTTCACCTCCTATTACGTGGGACTCCTAACATAAATAGTGAAAAGTGGATGTTACATTGTACAGTGACATTAAGTGCCGTAACTCTGCTACCCCATCGGGGATAAAAGGCGTAATGTTATGATGATGATAATGAACAAAACTGGGGTACAGATTACACACGTAATCCTAGCCTGAGTCACCACACGTGGTCCCAGGTTCAAGGTCACATGATTCAGAGGTTCCAACGAGCATAAATAGTTTAATTGCATTAGATTAGTTAGTGGAACCTCTGCTATAGTCATTTCTGCGTAAAACTAGTTTTAATTATTTTGACTGTAAAACTCTATTTGGTTATAAGCGACTGCCGATCATGAAGTCTTGTGTTTGAAAGCTGAATCAAGCATTTATTAGGTTTTTTCATGTTCAATTATAGTACAATGTCGACAGTCCGTGATAAGCCATTGCTCGTCTATTTTTTTTTTTTTGGTGGCGTAGGATACCTTCAAAGAGCGCCTAGCCTTTTAGGGAGTCGCGGAGAACCTAACGGGTAACCGGGGCTCCGGCTCGACGTGCAGGAGAAGGAACGGGGTGGTTTTTAGTCAGTAAGAGTCTGACACTCCCTTCCGGCTCACCCAGGCGGGAGCAGTCATTCGATGATTTCCCCCCTTAAAAAAAGCCTTTTGGGGAACAACACTAGGGAGTGTAGGATTTTTACCTCACTATAACCACCCTGGCAGCCACTCTCATTTACCCCATAGGGAATATCGAGTCCTTTAACATACCTGCCCTGATTTCACCTACCTAGGTTACGTTAAGAATAATAAATTCTAAAACCTCCTAATACATTCACCTGGCATTCAGATTAAATCCATGAAAACACAATACGTATGTAAAAGTTTGTAAAAAAAAAGAAAATCACCAACACGCAAAACACTTACTGACAAAACTGGCAAAAGAGTGTCTCGTTGGCCGAGTGGTCGCAAGTGCGACTGGGCAAGGAGTCTCGGGATCGATTCGGTTTTTTCAAAAAATCTCAGTAGTAGCACGGAGTCTGGAATTGTGCCCGGTATATGGCAATAGGTTCAACCCCTTTTACAGGGGACTCATAACATAAATAGTGAAAAGTGGGTGTTATATTGTACAGTTAAGTGCCGTAATGTACACCTCTGCCTACCCCTTGGGGTATAAAAGGCGTGATGTTATTTATGTTATGTTGTGTCAAAACACTTACCTAAATTGTAAGCCAAGAATATCAGCACACCGCACATGGTGAACACCCAGTTGGGTACTTCACTCTGATACCCGACCACGCCTGGCCGGCCACCGACCGCATAGAAGTCGTAATCATACACACTTAGAGTAATCACTGCTATCACCATGCAGAGAAAGCCAGCGAAGGTGATTAAATTCGGAGCTATCGATTTTGGTATAAACTGGAAAAGAATTAAATAATATTGAGTTACTTCGATTATGCCAAAATTTTCGGAACCCCTTACATTAATAATATTATGATGCAATTGGGTATTTGCCTTAATCAAAGATAATTATTTCGACTGTTCAATACAATAAAATATTAAAAAATAATCATACTTTCATTAATTGATTTTAAGACTAACATACTTTTAGTATTTTCTAGCAATTTTTTAAGAAATAAGTATGCTGTTTGACGATTGCAAAACGTGACGTCACAATACTCAATCTAATACAAAATTTATAGAAAACTGTTTTTTTTTTTAAGAACGTTTACCCACATTACGATTTTCTCCTGTGTCATGGGTGCGTTTACAAGTTCACATACACACGACACCCAGACTCGGAACAACAATCTGTGGATCACACAAATAGTGGTGGAATCGAATCCGCGCAACGTGTCGCGGGTTCGATTCCACCACCGCGCCAACCGTGCAGTCAAAGTTAGCAAGTACCCAATTAGTAAAAGGGTCTACATGTCGGTAACGCACTCGTAGACCCTTTTACTAATGCCTCCAGTGTTGCAGGTTCAATTTGGCTACCGTCCACAATCAGAAAGCCCATCAGCTTTTTTTCTACCGATAGTTCCTAGTATAAATAAAGTTGCCAATAGGCAATCTTAAGAATTTTCCTTTCGGGTGTCGGTAGATAAGGCTACTAAAATAGAAAGAGATTAAAGTTATATTAAGTTATGCCAAAATTTTATCTTTATGAACTTTTCAACAAATCTATCCATCGAACGATAGATTATTGAGCTGACACTATAAGTAAGCATCTATTCTTAAAGGTATGATGGTTTTTTATTTACAACCTACTACATAATATTAGGTATTAAAGAAGGGCAAAATGAAAAGATTGATGACTGTTGACGAAGCTAAAGAGTAATGTAGGAATCGTAGCAATTGGCGTTCCATAGTCTCTGCCTACCCCATGGGAGAAAGGCGTGAAGTTATGTATGTATGTATGTATGATGTGTAACTCTTTAACTCACTTTGACTACAGTGTTCCATGTTGGATGCATCACATATTTGCTGAGAGGGCTTGTGTCTATCGCACTGTACTGAAAAATGAAACAAAATTAGATTGTATATAGCAATAATAGTACATACATATTGTAAGTAAAATTAGGATACAGTGACGTCCACCTTATAAGTTTTGCTAATACCAATTCATCATCATCTTCATATCAGCCATAAGATATCCACTGCTAAACATAGGCCCTTCCCCAATGACTTCCAGATAGGCCGGTTGGAAGCGACCGATTTACTTAGCAAAAATGGTCAAATCTGTTCCTGTCAATTCCCATCGGGGCATGTCACCATGTCATTGAGAATGTAGGCACAGAGAGTGCAACTCAGATCCAAACTTGTTGTGCTAACTGGTTGCTTATATAGCGTACGTTTTCGCGATTTGATTGCCGCACAGAGGCCTTGAGTACGAATTTGTTTTACGTATAAAGTAATCGAAACGAGACCGCGTCCGGCGCTCTGATTGGTTGGTTCATTGGAGCCGGCCAATCAGAGCGCCGAACGTGGTCTCGTAAAACAAACTCGTACTAAGGCCTCAGAGCAGTGTCTATTATTCTTTGTATGATCTACAAATGAACTTAAACAGATTTATATACTTACTTTATATTTATTAAACCCCTTTATCTCTTCTTTACTTAAATATTTATAATCAAACATTTTGAACACGACCACCTTCAAACTGTTCTGAAAACAATAAGACATACAATACAAAAATTATGATAATTAGATAGTTAACTATGAGAAAAAAACAACAGAAAAAAACAATAGTGTGTGTGTATTAACTGTGTGTGTGTACCTGATACATATAGTACACTTAAGAGCAAAGAAACGGCGCCACGAGCAGTATTCATATATTTCATCAAACTATTTATGACTTTAAAAAAATATTCCTTTTTTATGGGATAAGCCGGTAAACGAGCAGACGGGACATCTGATGGTAAGATATCGGCGTCGCCCATGGACACCTGGAACACTAGAGGCTTTGCAATTGCGTTACCGGCCTTTTGTGATAAGGAGTTTGGGGATCGTTGGAGATTCAAGGATTAGGGAGATTGCGGAAGAGGAGGTAATTGGGCCTCCGGTTACCTCACTCACACGACGAAACAACGCAAGCGTTGCTTCTCGTCGGTTTTCTGTGAGGCCTTGAAGCATGGCTCATTCACACTTCAACAAAACGCTCTTATTTTAAAGGTAACTAAATTGCCTTTTGCATGACATACGTTAGGTACAACTTAACCTAAGTATGAATAAAAATAATTAATAAATAATAATAAAAATACCCGTAAATAGGCGTCAAAGTACTCGTCCATATTATTATCACAGTCACATAAAATTCATGTTACAGAAATTAATTATCAACAATTTAAAAATAAAAACGATGGTGCCTACCTTTTGTTTGCTCCCAAGTGTATGTACTATGTATTTTTTCCTACTAAATAAGTACATAGTTTTGAATGAACAATTACATTTTTATTAAATTGCTTACCTACATAATGTATTTGACTAATTTTAATACGACATTGTGACGTTATTTTTTTAGAACAATCTACACAGATACTTACATAAAATTGGAGTGTCTGTTTGTAATATTTAAATAACCGCCTCACAGAAAACCAACGTGAAACAACGCTTGCGTTGTATTTCGTCGTGTGAGTGAGGTTACCGGAGGCCCAATTACCCCCCTCCCTAGTCCCCGTCTCCCAAATCCCCGAATCCTCCACAATCCTCAAAATCCCAATTCGCAAAAGGCCGGTAACGCACTTGCAACGCCTTGGTGTTTCAAGTGTCCATGGGCGGCGCCGATTGCTTACCATCAGGTGATCCGTCTGCTCGTTTACCGGCTTATGCCATAAAAAAAACCGCTTTTTACTACATGTACACATTTTTTTTATTTTTGTCTGCTGTCTATCTGTTTGTACTGGCTAATCTCTGGATTGGCTGAACCGATTTTGCAAGACTTTTATTGCAGGTAGCTGATGTACTAAAGAGTAACATAGGCTAATTTAATTTTGGAAAATAGAAACTAAAAAAGTTATGTTCAAAAATCATATTCTACGCCGACAAATTCGCGGGCAACAGCTGTTTAACTGAAATATACATAATATTATGTTGTATACTGTCTAAACACCACTGACAAACGGTGAAAGAAAACATCGTGAGGAAACCTAGGCTTATAACTTCTAATTATAAGTTTGAAACTGCCACCCCGCATTCAGCCAGTGTGGTGATTAATGCTCAAACCTTCTCCGTATGAGAAGTGGCTTTGCTCAGCAGTGGGCATTTATAATTATAGGCTGTTGATGATGACAGGCACAACTTACCAGATAACACAACACACACACAAACACAGCAACTTTGTTAGCACAAAACACAAAAATGTCACTTAAAACCTAATTTAAAAAAGCAAAATTGTAATGTACAAAATTGAATATTATAACATTGTAATCTGTTACTGGATAACAGCTAAGTAATACTGATAAATTCATTACAAATATCTGGTCGCCACGCGTCGTATCTTCGCCGCCCTAATCGGTGAAGCAAAGGGTCAAAGATTAAGATTTTTGAAGATGCGCCACGCATGTGTTTTGTTTTTACCTAATTTTTTTTCAATTTAAATAATTTACTCTACATTTAAATAATTAATTATCGTGGTTTTCGGCTTACACACGTAATTATTTGACGAGTCAATCGACTAGTTTCAAGGCATGCTAGAGGCTTATATTCATGAGCAGTAGTCCGCGACCCGCGACGTGACGACTGTCACGCTGCTACTTAAATAAGTAGCTATATTATAATATAATTATATAGTACTCATGTAATACAAATAATTTAATGGTGTATTTTGAAATCATCATGGATAATTAAGTAAGATAACATTAATAATCTAGAGTTTAATTTGTTATTTAACATTAAATTCGTCCTTTATTACACGAAACTTGCTAACTAGTTAATTCCACAGTTCTGTCTGTACATTTAAGTTAGAAAACTCGTGTTCTGTATATTATTTTAAGGGGTAGGTCATCCCAGGTGATCTCAGGTGATCCTGATGGTAAGCAATCAGCTTCACTCATGGACATGCGCAATATTAGAGTAGTTTCAAGTGCGATGCTGACATTTACCTCTAGTTTATAGAGATGTATATGTAGGTGGCTTGTACGATTTATTTTTGTCGATCTAAGTGTGGAAGAGCCATGCTTCGGCACGAATGGGCCGGCTCGACCGTAGTGATACCATGGCCTTACAGAAAACCGACGTGAAGCAACGCTTGCGTTGTGTTTCGTGGTGTGAGTGAGGTTACCGCAGGCCCAATTACCCTCCCTTTCCCCAATCTCCCCAATTCCTGAATCCCCAACGATCCTCAAACTCCTAATCCCCAAAAAACCGGTAACGCACTTGTCACGCCTCTGATGTTCCAGGTGTCCATGGGCGACGCCGATTGCTTTCCATCTGGTGATCCGTCTGATCGATTACCGGCTTATGCCATAAAAAAATCTTGAAACGGGCCTATATATTTTGCAAAGCAACGAAACACCTAGGCACTAACCATTCTAAACCTAATTTGTTAGTTATTATTTTTTATTTCGCAACACCTAAGGTGCGTTTTTGTGTTTCCATCTTCACAGTTACGTGTTAACACATCTGTTTAAAATTGTGATTATCAACTGCATAAAACTTAGATATTTATAACCTAGATGTGACGCATAATTTTAGACCTTATCTTAGTGAGTCATTGGAGCGTTTTGATATAAAATTTGTAATGAACCTAACTTGACGATTATTTGAATTTAATGTTATCAGTTTGATAAGGGAATCAGCCCACCTGTGACAGGTGACTGTTGACTCTTGCGCGAGGTTAGATACGAATCTACATCAAACCATTGCAATCTCTACATTTTTTTTATTGTCATATTTTTACGTAGACATCGTTTTATTTTTAAGTCGTTAACTATTGAAGTAATTTTATATCTGAAAGTAGTTATATATGTGTATTACTGTCTAAATATATTTTCTAGCATTAAGTTATTTAGGTAATAGGGACGGTCAGCATCAAAATTTGATAAACACATTTAGATTTACAAAATCGCTGTACAGCTAATTATACCTAAATCGGTGAACATGCGGGTACCTTAAACGCAACGCAACATAATTATTTATGTCTGATGCTTGTCATGATGACCGATTGATTATATTGAGTATATTGATTTTGAAAATTTAATGTAAATGTGTTCATTAACTTTTGATGACGACCGTACCCTATGACTCGACACGACACAGCGTGTTGCGGTGACGACTTGAACATATTGTTTTCCCGAGTCTAGGTGTGTGAATTTGTATGAAGACGCACCCACGTCCCAGACAAAGCCCTAGTGTACCGCCAGATTAAATAGATAATTATAATATTTTATGTACTTTAGGAAAACTGTATTCACTCATATTTGCTAATTTCGGTCTTCGTAATTTGCAGGATTCCCAAAAGATTAGGAGGTACCTACCTCTGCTCTCCTTATATTACGAACTTTCATTTTCTTCTATTTCTTTCTTTATTTTGTCAAAATCCTAATATGGCGAAGATACCTAATTGTTTTCTGATGTTGTATTTCTTTAATCTTTGGCCCAATATCTGAACTTTGACATAAATAACGTCGATAAGTAAGTTGACATTGTTGTCAATGACGTTATTGTTGCCATTTATTATTTTGTTTGTTGTGCATTGAATAATTCGAAAATTCAAAATTATGACTAACTTGCGTTCAATACTTCCATAAGTAAATACTTTTTTTGTATCATCAACAATGATCGGTGGTGAAGACGAGGAGTTAAAACAAGTAAAAGACCTGTTATTTTGGGTAAATTACAGAACTTCATTCAGACATAGGTTTAATTTATTTAGGTAATACTTGCTTATTATAATCATAACCAAGATCCTTTGATCTATAAAAAATGAATCTTAACCCACTGAGGGCCGATTTTTCAATCGTCAGTTAATTCTTAACTGTAGAATAAAATTGATATTTTGACAGTTTTTAGTATGGAAGAATTGTCAAATATTCTAAGTTATTCTTCTGATAAATTTATATGAGCATTAGAAAAACTTGGAAAACCAATCATGTTTAACAGATATTCTATTGTCTAGCATTTATCTATAAGTACCAGGAGATCATAAATCGTAAGAAGGTACACGGAGGCGGTCAGATACTACGTTAATGTGCAATTGTAATCTATCTATCCATCTATCTCAGTTGCAGTCATAATTCATGTCACAGAGCAGAGCTCACATTCGACAAATTAACAGATGTCTATTTTTACGTGTCATATATCATAGTGGCGAGAATTAATGCCAGCTTCCATTGCACCAATGCATCAATTAACTGGTGCAAAATGAGTGGGCTAATTTTTATTAACATGCCTCGTCTGGCTATTAAATTGGCAGACATGTTCGGTCTGGTATGCAGAATTTGAATTGTATGATGGTTTAAAAACTATTAAAATCTGACATAGTTTTTAGCATAGAGTGTGTATTATAAAGTGCTACTAGCAGCCCTGCCGTGAAAATCCCAATATGCGTATTTTTTATAAATAATTATGTACAGGCACTGTATAACTTTCCTTCTGTTTTCTGATCTAGTTGTATGGCACCTGTCGTAAAATTATACTTT